TCATCTCATAGGACTAATTGTAAAATTAGATAGCAACAGTTCTGAGAGCCAAAGGTTCAAAGAGATATAAAGGGAAAACTGAAAGTTGAACAAATTCTTATTAAATCTTCACTGATTGAGTCAAAGGCTACTAATAATTTGTGTGTTTGAATGGCACATGTAATTAGAACATGAAGTCATCTTCATGTTCTAAGAAAGTGTTAATTTCATGTTTATGCTATGACTGGGCGTTGGTGGCACACAGATTTAATCCCAGCACTTGGGAGGCAGAAGTAGGTGGATATCTGAGTTCAAGACCAGCCTGGTCTACATAATGAGTTCCAGGACAGTCAGGCCTACATAGAGAAACCCTGTCTCAAAAAATTGAAAAAAAAAAAAAAAAATAAATAAATAATTTTTTTTTTTAATGGTATAACTTCAAACCATGTTTTCTCTTATCCTCGTAGTATGTTTTTCTGTCTACAAATACTATCTGATTATTCAGTCTTTTTTATGACCTGTGCATAATAATATAGATAATAAGCTAAGAATATTAGTTAGCATTTTCTGCTAGGCATCTGAGAGGCAGTACTTCTCAGTGTTTATCTCTAGGGTAAGGTTTTTTGTTTGCTTGTTTGTTTTTTTAGACAAGGTTTCTTTGTGTAGCTTTGGCTGTCCTGGAGCTCTAGAGTTCAAAGATCTGCCTACCTCTGCCTCTGAATGCTGGGATTAAAGGCGCATGCCACCAATATCCTGCCCTGGGCTAAATTTTAATGTCGTGTGAACTTGAGATCAAATTCTGGTCAGAATTCTGGTCAGAATTCTTACTGACTTGACAATCTCAGAGATCTAACAATTTCCAAATCTTAGTTTCTCCATTTAAAAGAAGGAAAATGATTTGTACAACAATGTTCCTGGAATTAAGAGCTAATATGTCAAAAGAATTTATCATTTTGCCTGACTGTTTATAGTGATTGTAAGTTGTGACTATTACAGTTTAGAGCATACTCAGCCGCTTTCTAGGGAAAGAGCAGAAGTCTGTAGAATGGGGATTGGAGCTGGTGTTTGTTCTGAAGAAAGGCTTAGCAGCATGGGAGTAGTAGCAGTTAGAATTGGCATGGTGCTAAGTATATTCCATGTCAAACACATTTGGATAGAAGCCATTCAAAGACTTTGACTCCCTATACATATTCAGTATACTAAAGCATTGGCCATGTCGTTTAACCCCTGCATTAATAAATCTCCAGAATTCCAGTTTTGGGTTCTTCTGCCTTTGAGTCACTGTAGGTGTGTTTACCAGATTTTGTAAACGGATGATTCTTGTCTGTGCTGGTGGGATGGTGAAGTTGGAGACAGAAGTAGGAATCTTGTATTTGGGTTTGTGAGCTCTGGGTCTTGTGCTAGCCTATATTTATAGGAACATATTCAGTTTTCTCCCACCCTGGCCTTTGTTTTCCTGAAGATCGAGATTGAGCTCCTGCGCACTGCTCTATGCTGCCATCTCCCATTGCTGATAGCAAATGTGAAGTGAGAGCTTTTGCTGCTGTTATCAATGAGAAAAACAAAAACAAAACAGCTGCCAAAAGGCCTCCTTGACCATTCTTTACTGAGTTTTACAGGCCGTTTAAGGCATCCTTGTGTCTGAATTGGGTCTTGAAGAAGACTTGAGGGACGTCTGCTTTTCTACTTTGAGCCATCTGAATGTTTTGTTCAGTGAGAACCTGTTGTCATACTGCCTGGATTAATTAATTAATTAATTAATTAATTAATTAATTAATTAGACTTCGTATTCTAGTGTGGCCATGGGCATGTTACTGACATTTTCTGTAGCTTAGTTTCCTTGTGAAGCACAAGGGCCACTGTGCATTAGTTTCTTCATGTGTAAGAGGTACATTTTAGGACACTCAGTGGATGCCTAGAATCTGTAGTTTCTATTGGTTTCTCTTGTATAGTTTCCCCCCCACATATTCCTACCTATGAAAAAGTATGATTTATAAATTAGGTTCAGAAATAAGCAGTAATAATAGATAGAGTAGTTATGGTAGTTTGCTGTCTTAAAATTGCCAGCGTCATTACATTACTTTTGTGTTTTGGACTCATTGTTATGGAAAATAAGTTTTGCTTGGACATAAACACGGCGTACTGTGAGAGTTGGCCTGATTATCACTATGGCTGCTAAGAAACTAATGTGTAGGTAGTACATGTGCTGGTCAAAGAAATTATTTTGTTTCTCTGTCTGGATGGAAGGGTCTGGCACCAGAGTTAATCATAACATTACTTAGAATAGCACGTATTTCAGAATTTATGGGTTGTATATTTCTGGAAGTTTTATCTCAAACCCCCCCCCCCCCCATTACAACTCATTTGTACATATGTGAAATGTGAAGAACTACAGGAAGTACTGTAGAGTACTGAGGTGGGGTGGACCGTTGCATCTTCCTAAACGTTGTCAGAAAGAGTGAGATTATAGATCCTTTCTTTCACCATCTGTTTCTTCTAATAATTCTTGCAATGCTGAGCATCTCTCAATGTTAGGTACCTTTATTAAGTGCCGCTTTCTTTTGTATGTGGTAGTTTCAAGGGACTCAGAGGTGAGTAAAATTAAGCCCCTGGTGCCAGAGAGCCAGCAAGGCAAAGGCAAGAAGCAAACAGAGCCTTTATGGAGAGTTGGATTCCTAATACAGAGAGAGGAAGATTGTGTTCAGTGAGGGAAGGATGATAAAGGGCTGAAGAAGGTTTTTGAAGACTAAGTTGGGATTTCTGAAGGGAAAGAACTTAGGCAAGTGTGGAAGGGTACTATATAGGTCAGTACTACTGGGGGAACTTTGAGGAGAAAATATATGTATTTTATCATACAGGCACACTTTGAATAGAAGCTGTTCAAACAAAAACTTGGTATGAACACACACACACAGTCATGCTTTTTACTTGTTCTTTGGGACCTGGCTAATTTTTAAGTTTCCTCATCTCCCACTCTCTCTCCTTCTGAGTGTCTTCGCTTGCTCTATGCCTTATTATTTTGAGATGCTGAACATGAAGCTCACTGGCTCAGTGGGGCTGGCTGATCAGGGAGCTCCCGGGATCTGTCCCCCACCCCTCTTTTGATTCTCAAACTGAAGTGACAGGCATGCATAGTCATGCCCAATTTTTACATGGATGCTAGGGATTTGAACTCAGGTCCTCATGCATGCATATAGTGCTGTTACCCATGGAGCCATCTCTGCATAATTTTTGTGATTTTCTGATGAAGATAACTTGCTATTTGGAAGTCATTGCCGAATAATTTTTAAGCACTTTTACAGTTGTTGAGACTGCATATCCTTTTATTACCCAGGCTGCTTTTGAACTCTTGAAGTCAAGTAATCTTTCTGATTCAGCCTGTCAAGTACTTGGGACTACAAGCACACAGAACTTTTTTTTTTTTAAAGAAATAATTCACAGTTTTGGATTTAGGAATCTAAAGTAAATCCTGCCAGATGTGTTGACCCGGTGATTTTGTGTGTATAATATCTAAATAGGTGGTTAAATAATACCCTTTAAGTTATGTGCTATCTATCATACCTTTGCTTTTTATAACGTATATTTGAAGAGCAGAGTATTTTTGCACCATTAGCTGGAGAAGGAGTTTTTATTTATAGAGTAACCAGCATAAGGATAATGAGAGGAAAAATAATCCAGACACTGCCCTGGTAACTCAGTGTTGATTTGTACACGGCTGTATGAGTGGGCAGTGTTTACTAATATGTAGTGTTAATCATGGAAACCTTGGGAAACACAACTAATTTTGTTCTCCTGATGAGAATAAAGAGTTTTCAGACAAAAGGACAAAAACTTTTAATGTAGCTAGTTGCTCCCAGTATTTTGTTACTAAAACCTAATTGAAAATATTAAGGAATTCAGCTCAGTTCTGTAATACAAACACTGTTTTTCTCTGGAGACCTGTAGAGGGCGCTGTGCACTTAGGGATAATGTGCACTAGCTTTAACTACAGAGAGGCTCACATTACAGGGTACTCTGCTCAGCTGAAAGATCTGTTTGCATCTTTAAGATTCTTTGCCTAGTTAAATTTATGAGCTCTTCCCTTCTTTCCCCCCCCCCCTTTTTTTTTTTTGAAATAGCGTTTCACTATGTTAATATGTGTCCTTGGCTGGCCTGGAACTTGCTCTATAGACCAGGCTGGCCTGAAACTTAGATCTATCTGCCTTTGCCTCATTTCAGGAATGCACCGCCTTACCCATCGTGATTGCCTTTCATTATGTTGATTGGAATACGTGGTACGGGTAGACTGTAGAACAATAAATCATTCCCAGTCTCCTCTTATCTCAGGTCTTTTTCAAAAGAGAATTAAACCATGTAATGGGAATATATTTTATCCAAATCTTTGTCAGTAGAGAAATAGCTTTGGAAGACGTGTTATTGCACCAAAAGGGAATTTTAAAGTCTGATTGAATTTGTTATTCAGAGGATATGTACAATGTTCCATGAATTCCCAACTTTTAACATTTACAGGTTTTTGGTAACTTAGATTCAATTTCTGCAGTTCTAAAGGGTTTTGGCGCTTTAAGTTTTGAAACAAAGGATGATATTTTTGTTGTTGTTGTTGTTGCTTTTGCTTTTTTGGGTTTTTGTTTTTTGAAACAGGGTTTTTCTGTGTAGCCTTGCCTGTCCTGGACTCAATTTGTAGACCAGGCTGCCCTTGAACTCAGCCGTCTGCCTCTGCCTCCCTAAGTGTTGGGATTTGTGCTATCACACCTAGTTACCTATTTTTTTAAAAAAATGGTTTAGCTAAATATCTCTTCTTCAAATTGCAGGCAGCTTTAAACAGTTCTGAGGCGAAGCTTGTTTCTTTGCAAAACTGTATTTTTATATTTATTTTGAAGTTCTGTACTGTAGTTCCTTAAAAACTTACGTTTTTCCCTTTTTCCTCTGCCCCCAAGTGAAAAGTTTTCTCCACAGTGGGTGAAAGGATTGCTGTCTACCAGCTTTCTCATTGGGTTGCTGTCTTTGTTTTTACTCTAAAGGCACCACCTTCCATGGTCAGTAATGAACAACGCCAGCATGCAGAGCACATATTCCTATCATTTAGGAAATCCAAATCACCATTTGCAGTTTGCAGGCATATTTTGGGTAAGTTTTCACTTTAAAAATATTTTTGCATAATCAGAGCTGTTTTTTCCTATCTTGAATGTTAGTTGTTATAAATCCCTTTTAATACAAGCTGGTTTGTGCAGTTAATCATTTTCACTAAAAATTTTCCTATTGTAATTGGTGTATTTAAAGTGTTTTGTGAAACCAGAAAGGAAGGTTAGGGAGACAGATCTATTTTTTTTTTTTTTCAAATGGCATGCCATTATTACAGGAATTGCAATTAAGTTCTCTAATGTGAGTTTGAAAAATAAAGGTTGTTTAGGGGAAGTTCTGTATTTTCTCTTTTTTAGTTTTTTTTTTTTTTTTTTTTTTCAGTTTTTCTTTTTAAAAACTGGTTTATACTCAGCTTCCTTAGCCAAATTAGTCACTTCTGGGAAGGTTATCAATATAAATAAATAAAGCAGTGATTTGTACTTTAGTTAGATTATTTTATGAGTTCTTATGTCTAACATATACAGAAATGGTCTCTTATAAACCCAGGAATGAAAGTTCTCTTGTCCAAGATGGCCTTTTTAAAGAGTTGTATATGATGTTGCCATTCGCCTCTTCTCTGCTTTTTGATAATAGAAAGGGAGAGTTTTGGGGTTTTGTTTGTTTTTTTCAAGGCAGGGTTTCTCTGTGTAGCTCTGGCTGTATTGGAACTTGCTCTGTAGACCAGGCTGGCCTTGAAGTCACAGGCCTTGAAGCTCCACCTGCCCTGCCTCCCAAGAGCTGAGGTTAAGGTGGGCGCCACCCCTGTCCAGCATTGCTTTTATTTTATGACCTGGTTATAGTTGGCCTTTTTGCCTAGTTGGCGGTATCTTTTAATGTCTTCATTTAAAGTTCAGAAACTTTTTGAGTTGGTTTATGACTACAAAATTGATTACTTGGTAGGAACTAAGGCCTGTTTATCCCTGTGGTTTGGTGGTTACCTGTTACCAGTGCTCTGGCCCCCATACAGAAAGAAACAGGGATGGTCATCTCTTCTAAAATGTTTACATACTAGGCTTATAAACTGAGTGTCTTAAATTGCAGTGGAAAGGGTTCTGCTAAACTATAAGGTCTGGCTGCCAGTGTTCCCTCTGCTTATTGTCAACTTGAAGAGGCCAACCTCTCTGGGCCTCTGTCATCTGTGAAATGAGAATAACGACATCGTTTGCCTTCATGTGAATAGGCATGGCTATCTTAATGTCTTGGGAAGTGCCTATGTTGTCATGTATAAAAAAGCATTTTGTGGACAATAAAGTAAACGTAACCACATTACTTTTGCTTGTTTATTTATTTTCTAAAAAGCAGTCTAAAATACGTGGCTGTTTTGGCTGTCAGGAGCTAGCAGCAATAGGAAGATAGCTGTGTTACTCAGATTTTACCTTTAGAACAGAAGTTGTAATAACTGCCTCTAATGCAAAACAAAGCCATTTTAATGGACTTATCCATGGTCGAGTTTTATTCTTGAATGGATTGTTTCTGTTATTAAGACATTTTGTTCTTTTGCTCTATAGTATATTTAATTAATGCTAAATAAAAGGAAGAACTGGGACATCAACCTGAAGACTTTAAAAGGGCTAATACCTCATCCTTAACCTGGAATTACCGAAAATAACAGAGACCATTGTGTTAAGCTATTAACATAAATAATTGGAGTTTGAGTTTAATGGCAGATAACTTACCTGCCTTGTCTAGGGTTCCCCCAGCTTTTCATCTGCCTTTTTGTTGAATGCAGCTGTCATTGTCGATTATGTTATAAGCATTTTATTTGCTTATAGCACTCTGGTTTCTGAGCGTGTGTATTTATGATGTATGGTGGCTTTCATAAGAGCTGAGCTTGTCTGGACACACTGTAATGAGCAGTATTGCTAATTCTAGTTGTGCTTTCAAAGTCAGCTTGGATTTCACCTGCTAACTACTTGAAAGATGGAGTACACAGCAACATGCACTATCATTGATGTACTGTGGAGCCCTGGGTTACATTAACGTTTGCATCTAAACTTGACCAAAAATCTTTTTAACCCCTTACTTAGTTGCCCCCGGCACAGAAGGGCAAATTCCTCTAAGAAGACTTCTCATACAAGTGGCAGTCAATCACAACTCAGAATTTTCACATTCTTATTTAGGGATTATGTGTCATTTTGTAGAATGTCTGGGAAATATGTTCCGATAAAGGGAGAGTTTTCTCTTTGATGCTTCCCACTTCTGTCCTCTTAAAACTCTTCCTCTCTTACTTCTGGCTTCATTTTTATGTGTTTCTCATTTTACCTCATTTCTTTTTCTTATTCCTGTTTTTTTACTTTTTGCTTTCTTGTATGTGTGTACGTGGGCGTGTGCACCTGTGTTGTGTGTGCACACGTGTGTGCCTACTGCATGCTTGTGTGTTTCGTTACTGGAGCACGTTTAGGTTATTTCACCTAAGAAATCTTTGGCACTTACAGGATCTTTCTAGTTTTTTAGGGTTAAATGTTTCTCTTAAAAACAAACAAGGCTAAGTTTAATTCTTACTTAAAGAATTAACAAAGAAATGAGAGGGATTGTCTTACTACTTCTCAAGTTGTAGCACTGCTTTGCCTCCTCAGAAAGAAATGGATTCTACTCACTTATCTTGGCAGCCAGCATAAAATGAAACAAACCAGCATATTCAGTTGGGCTAGTTGACTTCTATATTTGGAAAATTGTCATTGGTAATGCTGCCAATGTTATCTTCCTCAGCTGAGACTTTGCTGCTGGTCAGTAAATGCAGGTGTCACCATGCGAGCAGAGCTGGCATTTCAGATCTCATAGCTCTGTTGTTTGAACAGAAACTCTTGAGGTCAGACTGCAGTGCTGATCATCTAGAGTAGGCTTGCTTTTGTTTTTAGAATACTTTTTAAAATTAGTTTCCCTTTATTTTTAATTTTACTTCAGTTTTTCTCCAAAGGGTACAATCACATTTCAGACAATTTTTATCATAGAATAAAAATGATGTATCGTTCCATAATTATTAAAGTTATTATGGTAGCAAAGTAGCCTCAAGTAGTTTATCATAGCACTGTGGTAGCCAGCCACAGCTCTTCTGAAGGAATGTAAGAAATTGTAGCTGAGGTGTGAGTTCAGCAGGAGGGCCTCACAGTGCTGGCGTCTTCGTGCAGAGTGAGACGAGGCTGTGTGTCTGCAGGAGCTCTGCTAGTGAGTAGTGGCCAGTGCAGAGCCCTTTCCAGCTTCTCTCACAGCTCTGCTGTGTGTTTATCAGAAGGTGTGATACTCGGTTAGGAAGAACGCTACTTTTTCAATTAGGAATTTAGCTTTCTCTCCAGAAACAGCTCTATCCTTAGAGACAGCTTCTTCTGTAATCTAGAGATTCTCATTTCCTGCTAGGTAGGTGGTGAAGAAAAGTTAAGAATGTTTCTTGGAATCTTTCAAATGTTATTCTTGTGTAGGACAGAAAAGGACTAGGATAGAAGTACAGGTAGTTTAAGGTGTCTCAGCTGATAGAAGGTGCCTTCTTGGTCTTGCCTTTAGTGTATGCTTAGCAAGGACTAATGTTACTTAGGGAGCCATGTGACCTCACATTTCCTCTTTCTGTTGGCAGCTAGCATCCTCTAGCTGCTCTTTAGCTAGAGGATGGAACAGCTGAATAAGATGATCTTTGCTGTTTCTAACATTCTGTGAGGCCTTCATATTTGCCTTCTTGTTAAAATCTGTAGTTAAGGATTTCACTTAGATGGAAGTGAAGACAACACCTCAAAAAATATACAGTGAGATTATTTAACTCACCTTTCTCATACACAGCCATATTTCTTCCTAAGGGAGATAGATATAACCTGTTTCTGGCTAAAATTGTTGGAATCTTTGATCAAATCTACCACTCCATCCTCACTTTTGAAAAGTTAAACTTTTTTTTAAATAATGTCACATTTTCAAAAGCTATTTGCTTTTAAAATTAATCATTTATTATATTTTAAAGTTCCTAAATTTTTGTGACTTCTAATCATCTCAATCAGTTTATGTTAAGGTAGTAAGGACTAACCAAACCTTCGAAACAAAAAAGGCCCAGATTGGTTCTTTCTACTTTTGGTGTATCCAGACCAGCTGTCTACAATGACATGCTCTTATACAGGCACACCTTCCTCCAGTATTTTCACAGGTAATGTGTTACGAACATTGATAACATTTTTAATGACCTGAGCTTGAGTTAGAAACCAGTGCCTGACAGTACTTCTTGCTCTTCTGAGTTCTTGAAGGCACCATTCTAGGCCTAGAGTTAATTTCTTGTGGCTTTCAGATACTCATATTCAGGGATCTTGGCATATAATCTAAAGTCTAGTCAGACTTTTTAAGAGTTTCACGTGTTTATTTTTTAGACCTTAAGAGAATTTCTGCTTTTTCTTGACTTCATTTTGACTGTTTCTCCCTTTTGATAATGCTGTTTAAAAACTGTAGCAGTATATACTAACAGAAAAAAATAGAAAATTAATATAAAATATTTCTTCAGCATGTTAATTTTCTATCCCCCCCCCCCGATTCAGGTTTTAGTTCAGATGCTATAACTTGCCAGGTAGGGCTGGGTCTTTCTAAGTGTAGCCTTGGGATTTTACTCACTTTGATCAGTACTGCAATCAGAAAATTAACAAGAACTTCTCACCTTGTGTAAATGTGGCTCATGGTATTTGACCATCTTGAGACAAAACTTGGATGTGGTTGTTTATTTCTGAACTTGCTATTGAGGTGGGTCATCCTGCTGAAGGCTTTCTTACTGAAAAGCTACAATATTTCAGCAGCATGGCTCATCACAAATAGTAATGTTCTAAGACTGGCTTAATAAGATATTTTTCCAATAAAAAGGTCCGCTTTTGCACAGAGTGAGAATCTCTTAGTACACTTTCTGATTGCTTCATATTTTTATTTTTACTTTTTAAAGCTGTGTTATTTTTTAGTTCTTCATGCTTTGGAAGTAACAGTTGAAGAGAGGTGAGGAAAGTTTGTGAAAATTGTGATCGGTGATTAGCTGCCACCTGCCTGAGGTGTCTTCTGAGAGGAACTAACCTCTTTGTGGTGCTAGAGCAAGGTCACTGGATTAAAAACAGAACAGGTAACCATCTTATTCCTTGTCTGAAAAGTTCTGTCTTAAAATTAATAAATGCAGAGTATACACGGTAACACAAAGCACTGCTTAAAGAGGGTTTTTAATTTTTCTCCCCAGAAACCAGTAAAGTGGACTATGTCCTTTTTCAAGCTGCCACAGCCATAATGGAAGCGGTTGTCCGAGAGTGGGTTCTCTTGGAAAAAGGCAGCATCGAGTCACTGCGAACATTCCTCCTAACCTATGTCTTGCAGAGGCCTAAGTAAGTATGTGGGTGGCACCGCCAAAATACCTGTGCTCAGCCCTGTGTCTGTCCTTCCAGAGCCCTTGTTCTTGGTGGAAACGTCTCTAGGCAAGCTCTGCTGGGGCTCCTCGTGTGAACATTCATGCACATGAGTGTAGCTTGTTTTCATGCTTGTTGAAAATCACCTTTTACTTAAGTTTCTGATACTAAAAAAACCCAAAACACTAAAGATACTCTTCTTGTTGAATTTTGAAGAATTTGATTGTGAATAAAAGCTGACTTTTGACTGTCAAAACTTATATTTGCTTGTTCTTCGATGCTTGGTAGGATATTTTATTGCTCTAGTATGTTTGGGAAGTTTAACATGGGCTGAGTATTATAAGATGTAGCTGCATATGTACAGAGAGGAGGAGGAAGAAATTAAGCCACCAGCCAGCCACGTACTACATACATATGTACACAGAAATACTTTAGAAGAAACAGCACTCAATTCTTTGTTTATGTAGAAAAAGATCAGATTTCAGAAGTGAGGTAAAGTGAAGTTTCTTTAGTGGTTAAACATTTTTACAAGAGTATAAATTGGCTCTTGTGAAATTGACACATTTTTGCTATATTTTACTAAAAATGATGGGTTTTTTGATCTTTGCACTGGCAAAATAATTTGAAATACATTTTGATAATGTATTCTTGTAGTTAAAGAGTAGTAGGACTAAACATGAAGGTCCATGTTCATCTACAGCAATATTTTTAAAAAGATTAGAGGCTAGCTATGTAGTGCATGATTTTTTTTTCTTTTTCCTTTTTCTTTCTTTCTTTCTTTCTTTTTTTTTTCTTTGTTTAAGCAAGGAGTGTTATATCATACTTAGTTTCAGCCCTTGAAAGGCTGAGGCAGAAGGATTGCTAAGGCAGGTTTCAAGTTAAACTGGCCTGCAGTATAAGACTGTTACTAAAAATTGGAAGGAAAAAAAAAAGAAAAAAAATATGCCACTAGTAGCAGTATTTAGGCCCCTATGTCTGAAGAGCACTGATTATGGCCACCCCTCACTGCCACCCATGTCTGGTTATTGGTATAAAGCCTCTATTTTTCTGGGATTTTGTTCTGTTTTTACTTTCATAGAAGTGATTTGATGACACTTTTTATGTGTTTGAGTCAACTGTCATAACATAGTGGTTTTCCTAAGTAATGAAGGACACAACAGAACTTTAGGCCTCCTTGACGGCCTTTTCCTACTCCATTACAGGAAGCCCAGAACTCTGCAGAGTAGTATGATATTGTATAATGTATAATATAATATGTATGCAATCAAGATATTCTTGATGTTTGCATTTGTGCTTTTGTATGCTATCCAAATCAGTTCCATTCTTCAATCATTTTCATTATTTTAGAAGCCATCTTAGAGTTGATTACAAAAGGTTTTAGGTTGAAATAGTTAACTTTTTCTTGACTGTGTGTGTTTGTGTTAGTGCTGACTGTATGGTTTTAGGTGGTGGAACCCAAGATCTTATGAATGCTAGTTAAGCACTGCCTTCTCTTTGTACTATTTTGAAAAATTTTTTTTCTTTTTTTTTTCCAGACAAGGTTTCTTTGTGTATCCTTGCCTGTCATGGAGTTGGTTTGTAGATCAGGCTGGCCTCAAACCCACAGAGATCTGCCTGCCTCTGCCTCCCTGAGTGCTGGGATTACAGGCGTGCACCACCACGCCCAGCTTTGATTCTTAAAACTTTGAGCAAAGATGACACAGTAACACAGTCAACACACACTCTTCCTGTGGAAGCTCAGTTAACATTTTGTCATATTTGAGCAGATTGCATGCCCACTTGCGATGCTTTCACACTTAAGCACTTGAGTATGTCTCACACTTCAATATTCTAGACCTCATTGTCATCCTTATATTATTACTTAACATGATTCTGATTGTATATTCCAAGTTCCCCAGTTACTTTACTAATGTTAGGTATATTTTCTTACTAATATGCAGTTGGTCTCTGGCTCTGTTAATGTTTGCTTTCTATATTTAGGTAAAATATATTGTCTGTCTTTTCAGTTCAGGATTTAATTACACGTTAGATGTTATGTTCTGTTATCAACCTTTTTTTTAAAAGTTATTTTATATGTGTGAGTACTTTAATTTTTTAAGATTTATTTATTTTACTTCATATATATATATATGAGTTTTTTGCTTGCATGTATATTTATGCACCACATGTGTGCCTGTGGAGGTCAGAAGAAGGCATCACATCCGCCGGAACTGGAGTTATAGATGGTTGTGAGCTACCATGTGTGTGCTGAGAACTGGACTCATGTTCTCTAGAAGAACAGGAAGTGTTCTTGACTGCTGAGCCAGTCTCCAGCTGCTGTGTATGAGTATTTTGCTACTATGTATGTGTGTGCACATTCTGCATGCCTGGCACCCAAAGAAGTCAGAAGAGGGCTGGAGTTGCAGGTGGTTGCCACTGTGTGCGTGTTGGGAACCAAGCCTAACTCCTTTGCAAGAGCAGCAAGTACTTTAACCACTGAGCTAGCTCTCCAGCCCCTGTCACATCTCTCTAAAGCATGAGTAATTCAGCCCATTTTGTCTTTAGTGACATGGGCATTCTTATTTTATAGAATGCTCTCTGGTGTGGATTAGAGTCAAGTAACAAATCCTGATGTACTTACTATACAGGTAGGATTCTACAGACAGCTTATATAGTACGTACTGTCTAGTGTACTTAGGGAGTGTGTATTTGTGTCCTTATCATTACATGTACAGGCTTTTTCCTTACATCCTCATTGAGGTAAAGTTTGTATCGGTTTGATACACCGTGCCTCCTTTTCAAGAGACGGTATCATGGTAATCAAGAAAGGAATGTATATTCTCATTTTGCCACACTTGCTCAGTTTATATTATTAATCTTTTTAAATTAACTTTCTGATAATTAATAGAACTAATAATATTTCTTGAACATGTTAATTTACAGAAACCCTTGCATAAAACTCAGTAAATGTTTTAGTTTTCTAAATCTTGCCAGTAGAGGTTTTTGTTGTTGTTGTTGTTTGTTTGTTTTTTAAAGGCAGGGTCTCACTAAGAAGTCTTGCCTTGGCTGGCCTAGAACTTGCTATGTGGACCAGTGCTTTGCCCCCTGAGTGCTGTTAGTAAAGGCATATGCTACCATCCCTGGCCCAAATCTGTATTTGAAAGGAAAATTTTGACTTTAGTCTTGATGTAGGGCCACATGTTTGAAACTGTTTAATAAATGGCAAATCCTGAATTGTACATATGCTAGTGCCCTTAGAGTAGGGTGGTTGATTTTCAGGATAGATTTAAGTAGTAGTAACGGATAAGTCATGTCACATGCTGGTACCTTGGGAGCCTTTAGTAATAACTTTCTGGAAAAAGTGACATCAGAATTTTGGCAGAGGGAATAGAAGTTCATAGGCTTGGAAGTATAAAAGTGTGGAGCCAGGAACTGAGGAGTTCCATATGCCTGCTCTACTGAGTATATGGAAAGAGTGAGGTCAGAGAGCAGAGCAGCCACTTGGCTGTCACAGATTTTAAAAGCTCATGACTGTATGTTTAAGTTGTGCCCAAACTGTGATACCTTTGAAAGTAAGCACTTTCAATAATTATGTGGGACAACAGGACACGGGACTTTTCTAGGAAAGCTAGGACTGGTCTTGTTGCCCCCGGTACGGGATGTGGCTTGTCCCAAGGGCACACAGTCACATCTTTATGGCATTTGAGAGGTTTAATTATATAGTTGGTGTTTGGGACCCTGACCTTTAAGAAGGGGTTCTGAAAAGGCATTTAAGTCTAGGTTCCCCTGTGATTGATAGGTGTTATATGGTCAGCCAGACATGACACCTTTCTTAGGGCCTTGGAGAGTAGGAATTTGCCTTTTCTCATTAAAGGGCAAGGGTTGAGAAACTGTTGGTTGGAGATGATACAAAATCAGAATTATCTTAATCTTACTGATACTGCCACCTTAAATACTCAACAAGGAGCCGCCTAAAGCATTTGGTCTGTTTGTAATGGATACAATTCTAGGGTTGAACAAGTTCTGTTGTTTGTTTGATGTTTGCTTTTTTAAACAGGTTCTCATGGTAAGGCCAAGCCTGGCCTGAAATTAACTATGTAGCCTTAGAGTAGGATAGAATACCTTTTTTTTTTTTTTTTTTTTTTTTTTTACAATAATTCTGACTGTTATTTCCATTTTAAACAAGAGAAATAGACAAAGTGTCTATTCTGGGCTGCCCAGGATTATGCAGCTAGTAAATAACAGAGCCCATCAGATCTATGAGTTTCTACATAACTTAATAGACTATGTTACTCTCAGGTGCAGGTCGTATTATCAGTAGCTTCTGGTGTAGTGAGAAACTTGGTGAGTGTTCCCATCAGATGTAGGTAAATGTCTTCACAATTTTTATGTTTTGCAGCCTCCAAAAGTATGTTCGGGAGCAGATTCTATTAGCAGTAGCAGTGATTGTAAAAAGAGGATCATTAGATAAGTCAATTGACTGCAAAAGCATTTTCCATGAAGTCAACCAATTGATAAGTAGTGGCAATCCCACTGTGGTAAGTATGCTTAATGCTTGCATCTGTAACCATTTTTCACTCAGCCTGTCATTAATAGCATTCTGGTAATAGTGGTATAAAAGAAAGGTATGCAAACTAATGTGCCAAGGAGTTTTTATTTGTTCAGAGTTTCATTCTGACCTATAAATATGCATGTGTAATGCAGATACACTTAGTGTTTTCATTTGAGTCAGTGTTTTTCTGTGTTGTCATTGTGCTCTTAATCATTTTAATTGATTGGGAAACTTGATGAGTCAGTATACCATAATAATTTTTTTTTTCTTTTTCCTGTGGGTAGGGAGACATGGACTTAGTACGTAGCCCTGGCTGACCCGGAATTCACAGAGATCTTCCTGCTTCTCTTTGCCTCCTTAGTTCTGGGAGTAAAAACATGTGCCACCACACTGGGGTTTCAAAATATTTTTAATCATTCTATTGAATATTTCTCCACTTCCAGTTTTAATAAGCCTTGGAAAGTACCAAAATAATTATAGAAGTGGTTGAGTTAAATATAAACAGTATCTGGTGTAATAAAAATCATTGATTACACTATGACTTTCAGGTGGTTCTATCAGGTGAGCAGATGTCAGGCCATTGTTCTTGACCAAATTGCTTAAAGGAGCATGATTTCCCCATCCTGTCCACATTTAGAGAATGTCTGGTTGTAGTAAGTCATCAGAGGCTGGAGGAGCAGGAGGTGATATCTGAGCAGCTCTGATCCTTGGGGGATCCCTATAGAACTGGAATTGGTAGTGCCTGGCTATTCTTATTCTTAGGTATCAGATCTTTAAATATTCTCTGTAGGTTTTTTAATTATCACAATTTGTTTTTTTAATTACTTGAGAAATATCTGTGTGAGGATATACAATTCTTCAGGGACCCTTCTGTAAGGAATGATACTTGTTTATTTGTCGTAGTGGGACTTGAACCCAGAATGTCAGGCAAGTGCTGTGCTGCTGAGCACTGAGGCTGTCTCTGTTTCTGAAATGATGATCAGATCACTTGCATGGGCTTGGTAGTATTCCTTTTCACGGTCATGGATGCAGTCTGGTGGTCATATCCTGCATGCCCGGAGTTGAGTTACTGCTCCCCTTTTAGATTTTGCTTTGGAACATCTTGTTGCATGTTGGTAGTCTGGCTTGCTGCAATGTACAGGATTAGACTGGAGCAGTGCCATTGAGACCTGTGGCTAACACTCCCTGCCTTAGTTTGTTGATTCTTCTAGGTAGGGCTTTGGTGCAGGAGTTTGCAACTTGCCCTTCCCTCCTGCATATCTCTTCACACTGGGAGAATATAGCACAGGTAACTTGTCCTGCTTTCCTTAGGAATGAGCACATGCTAGGAACAGAATTCTCTTCTTCCTTTTCATTTGGGTAGATGTAGAACAAAAAGAGGTTTATGGCAACTTGACAATTAGTCTTGTTTGAGCCACTGATAGAACTGAAGTTCTATAAATGATAGAACAGACAGTGCAGTTAGAGAACATTTTGCTATATTCACAGTACATACATTTGGATAAATTTAACATTCTTGATATTCTTTTTTTTTGAGGCAGGGTTTCTCTGTGTAGCCTTGGCTGTCCTGAACTTGCTTTGTAGACTAGGCTGGCCTCAAACTCAGAGATCAACCTGCGTCTGCCTCCCAGAGTGCTGGGATTACAGGCGTGGCCCGCCTGACTAGGTGCATATATGAATATATATATGAATATATATGTATATATAAGAATATATATAGCTGGGTACAGTGCAGGCCACCATGCCTGTCTATCCTTGATATTCTTGAAATAGTCAAAACAAAGACACACACACACATTTTGTGACTCAGGGTCTTGCTTTGTTACTAGCTAGTCTAAAACTCAATGTTGGAATAGATTGGATTCGAACTCTTGAACTTTTTTGTTAGTCTGCTCTGTCCTAGGATTGAAGGTGTATGTTCCACTGTACCAAACAAGGTTTTCTTTCCAAAGTAAAATTTCTGAATAATGGGACCAAGAAATTCTACAGTATTAGCAATTTAGTATGTCTTAATGATAGGGTGAAATGATTTTGCCGACCACATTGAAACATTAAACTTAAACTCTCTGTTATGTGGGTGAGTGAAATGCATACATTGTTCACACATCTTTGTCCTGTAGTGAAAACAGCTCCTTCAGTAGATCCAGAAAATGATATTGTAGAGCAGTGAGATGTTTTAATATATCTTTCTCTTGGACAGTGAAGAATTTGTGGAAATGGCTCAAAAATTTAAGGCTTCCTTTGTCTCAGAGACATGAATAACCTTAGAAGAAAGGATTAGGGCTTTGGTAGGAAAGTTGTGTGTGGAAACAGTTAGTGGCCAGAAACCTTAATATGGTAGTTTACATGATACATGAAGAGATGCCAGTAATAAAAATCATCTGGTGGCTTTTTTTGTTTAAGCATTTTAAACTTCCATTTACTATTGTATGTATGTACATGTGTACATGCCATTACACATGTGTGGAGAAAGGATTGTTCTTTCCTTCCACCATGCATTCCTGGTGGTGGGTGGCGATCACCTTTATCTCCTATCTCCTGAGCCATCAGCTGGCCCTATTTGATGGTTTTCTGTAGATTAAGAAAGCGGTTTCCTCAGGGGCTGTTAAATCACACAGCTTAGCTCCCCTCCTACCACTTTTAAAAATGGTGTTCCACGGACTTCCGCTGCCAGAAACTATAGTTTGGCTGCTTCCCTTCAAAACATTGGCGTTGGTTGTTTATCCTTCAGTACTAGTCTGGTGGACAGATTTCCATGGGTTTGGAGCAGTTAGTTGTAGAGCACTGATTCTTTTTTTACTTAGTTACAACTCTGCCAATTACCACCTACTTATCTGGAACAAATAAATTCTGTAAATTGGCTAGGCATTAACTCCTTAGTATGTAAAGCAGGTATCGTCTCAGAAGTGTTAGCACCATTTCCCTAGTCAACCTTCCCTTAGAGGATCTTGGGAACATAAGTTTTAATAAATCAGCCTATCTAACTATTCTAATAAGTGTTGAAACACAGAAGACAGTACCTACTAGTGAAAGCTTGACTATTTGTGTATTTAAAAAAATATGATAACCAGCACATTAGTTTTCCTTTTAAATGCTTTAAAGGATTATCATGACAGTGGTTTCTTGAAGATCGGTTTATGAAAAGTTTTATAAATCTATAAAACTTTGGGAGAGGACATTTGAACATATTGCCTTGCTTTACTACTATGCTATATCTTTAGCCTTCATAAAACCTTTTTAAAATTAATTTTTATTTTTTAATTGGAAATAGATGGTTTTATATAATATATTCTGATTATGGCTTCCTCTTGCTCAACTTCTCCCATATTCTCCCTACCCGCCCAGATGTACACCCTTTCTTTTTCATTAGAATACGGTTATCTAAAAATAGTAATAAATTAAAATAAGATAAAACAAAAAGCAAACCAGGATAGGACATAGAATCTTTTCTAAGGAGCATTTCTTAGACAGTAGAGCTTTCTGTATGCTGTGGTGTATTGTTGGTGTAATCAACAATTAATGCACATACAGTTAATAACTATGTCCATCCAAGTTAATCCTTGTGAGCAGGCGGTCTTACTTCCGTGGCTGTGTTGGGTCCTGTGGTAATTCTGTCTCAGCTGGGAACTGTTAGGCCAACTGTCAGTACAGTCGAGAGAAAGGAAAACTCTCCTTCCTAGAAAAATAGCTTAGGTTATTTTTTAGGCTGACAGACAAACTAAAAATTTAATCTATTTATGTTTGCCTTATTTCCTTTGAAAGTATCAAGCCTATGCTAAATCATTTTCAAAGATAGTTAATGCAGCATTTAAGCCTCCTTTCTTCCCCTTTTTCATGTTGGGCAGAAGTGGGTGTGAGACTCACTTGTCTACCCAGGGCTGCCCTGGAAGTGATAGCCAAGTTAATCTCCCTTATCGCAAAGTCTCATTGATGTTTTCTTAGAAGAGCAGCTGGAGGTCTGCTCTATAGTAGGGCAGCCTTTCATACAGTTTATTCTTGGTAATAAAGATCCTAAGGCAAGAGCCGGGCTATTATAAGAGACAAGCCTCCCTCGGACAGGAGCATTCTCTTTTGTCAGCTGGAGTTAGGATCTTGTGTTTGTGAACTGGGAAGGCAAGCTGTCTCTAAGGGGGCTTTTTTCCCCCTTGTTTCCCACAAGCATGAAACAAATAAATGAATGGCTTTGACGAGAAATGTAAATGCAACTATAAGAATTTTAACATGAAGACAGTTTTCAAAATTGTTGTTCAGTGAATAAACCTTTGAATTTGTAGTACTTCAGAGAAAGAAGCAATACTTTGAAAACAGTTTTTCTTTAAGAGCAGGTGTCATGTATCCCAGGTTGACCTAAAAATTTGGGATAGAGCTATGGATACCTCATACTTCTGAAGCTTCTGTCTCTATCTCCTAGGTACCAAAATTGCAGCCATGTACCACTAACACTCAGTTCCATGAAATGCCTGGGGCCAGAACCAGGGCTTCATGCATACCAGGCAAACACTCTACCACTGAGCTGTATTCTCAGTTTATGAAGACTTCTTTTTGTAAGACAGACCTTTTTGCCCATTTTTCTTTTTGCTTCATTGATCTGAATTTATAAACAGCAAAAATGGGAGTGGGACTTAAGAGGAATTATTCAGTAGTTAACAGAACTTCTTGTAGATGATCTGGGGTTGGTTCCCAGCACCCATGTGGCTGACAACCGTCTGTAACTCCTGTTCCAAGAGATTCAATGCTTTCTTCTTCTGATTATATACATACATACATACATACATACATACATACATGCAAGGACTCATACATATATAAATTAATCTTTAAAAAGAATTAGGAAACTTCGTATATTTATTTTCTACCTCCTTCTGTGTCCTGTGCTAAATACAAATAACTGAGGATTCATTGATTGAAGCAATATTTAATGATCCTCTTCTAAGTGGTAATTTATCTTGCAGTTCTAATTTCACAGAACTAGACAGCAGTCAAGAGGTAAGACTAAAACAACCCATTTATATGACAGTTACAAAAATAATACCTGCACTCTACCCTCTCCTATTGCTGCTTTTTGCTTAACACACATCATTTCCACCCAGAGTACTGTATTAGGTAGGGCAGAAAGTAGATGATATCAGAATGATAGATGAAGTGCCTTGCCTACAGTTAAATGGGAAACACTGAATTCACATTTCTGTTTCTCTGCTCTAAACAATAGTTTTCTTATATTCCTACAGATCCCTACAAACTATTTTTACCTGTAATGTATTTCAGACATAGGCATAATAGGCCTGTTCCTTGGTTTCTAGATTGTTAGCAAATAAGGATGATCAGTGTAGAACTGCCTGCTGGTGGTTGTCATGTCACCGGCATCAGAGACTGTAGACTACCACAAAGGCCACTTGAGGAACCCTGTGAAGCAGACATAAATCAGCACACACTGGGATCTGATAGCCCCTTGTCGAAATACCTAGGGCCTTTCTTCTTGAGTGGCTTCAACGCAGTCATTATTGTCATATAATTGCTATGAAAGGGCGTCTTCTAGAAAAATGTCCAGAGTGAGAATTTTATTTAAAAATATTTTTTGTTGTTGTTGCACTTAGAAAATAACAGATATGTGTTCTTAGATAAATGAAGCATTCTTGTGCTAACTTCTTAAATTCTGGCAAGTTTGTGCTGTGGTTTCAGTCAGATCCCTCTCTAGTATGAAAATCTCCTGTTTCTCAGCCAGTTTTCATCATATTTCACTGAAATTCCTAACGATGGCTTTTGTTTTTTACTGTATCAGTCACTGTCTATAGTATAGAATGCCGTCTAGCTGTGACTGACAAAGGGCAGGGATAGCACTTGAAAGTGCTGGTTGTTGGAGGGGGAGGAAAAGGCACTGCACTTGTGTCCCCTGAGCACTGAATGCCTGCAGCGAGCAGACAGGAACCTTCTTCAGTGGTAAGTGAGACCAAAGTGGATGCCTTTTCCAGGCAGGGAGAGTTCTGCATGAGAAATTCTCCTTTGGAGCTGCTTTTTGCTTTGCTTTCCTGTCTTATTACAATACAATGAGGGTAACTTTACCTTAAGGCAGTTACTAAGTACTGAAAGTGAGTAAAGATAAGAATTAGAGACTTACACATTCATGATATGCTTAATTCTCTGTGAATAGGATCAATTATTTTGTTGATACATAGCAGAGTGTTTTGCTTTGTTCCTTTATAATCAGTACTTAATTCACTTTATTAATTCTCACATATCACTGATGATTGTCACTTTAATCATTTAAAAGGAAGCCATTGTAAAATGAAGATTATTTTACTTGCTAAATGTTTGAAGAGTAAAGACAGGGATAAATTGCTCTCTATGAGAGGTGCCTGTGCCCGATTTTTCAGATTGTCTTCCTCAGCCCCACAAAGGTATTTAAACAGGCAGATATTTTTCTTGAAGATTTGGGATTGAGGGAACTTTTGTGTTAAATTAAGTATATATTTTGAAATAATTGAATGTGAGGGAAATGAATGAGTTTATTCATTTGTCATCCTTTAATTAGAGTAGTATAGTATAATTAGAGTTTATGATACTAACCTCTTATATATACACAAGATTTTCAAATTAACGAGAAATTGAGCTGTTGGGTTTTTTTGTTGTTTGTTTTGTATTGAAAATATCTTGATGAATTTTAGTTCTTTGAAAAGTGAACATTTTAGGTATGGCTCAAAACAGCATTTGATATCTGCATGCTGTCTAATTATCTTCATGTATTAAGTTTCTAAAAATGTAATTAAATACAAACAGTTTGTACTTAGAGATTTTTTTTGTTTTAGAACTAAAGTAGAAAAAGGAGTATAAAGTATATAAATTGTTAGTGTTCTATAACTGTTTACATGTATTAAGAAACTAAAGAGCTATAACTTACACAATAGCTCCCAGACAATAAGATTATAAGTAATTTTATTTTCTTTTAACTTTTTTTAACCTTCTAGTTTTTCTAAGATTAAGATGTGCTATATTATTTTCATAGGCTGAAAAAATAATTTAGAACAGTATATTTATGTTCAGGAAGCTAAATCTATGATGAGAACACATTTTGTTTTTGATACTCACATATTGAGAAAAAGGGCTAGAGGGCTGGCTGTTCCTCCTTACGAGCCTCTCCCACCTTAGGAGTGCTTTTCTCACTTTTCCTTAATCAATGTACATTCACTCTAAAGAGTGAGGGTAGGCTAGCGGGAGGGGGACTGAGACCATATTCTCACTTCCCTTTGTGGGTTAGTGTGCATCTCCTTAATGTGAATTTCCTTTGTTGGATGGTAATGTTTATTGATGCAGCTGGCCTCTGTCGGCTCCCTGTCTACTGAGCTTTACTTTAAAGCTAAAGGAAACCTACTTGTTGAAAGCCTTGGGCACCTAGCAAGGGGCACTAGCTTTGCCTTATTTTTTCTCCATTTATTTGACCATGAATATAAGCTTAGGGAATATTTATTTCATATGAAAGCAAATCTTTATTCTGATTATATGTTTTAATAATTAGGCATTGTACTGCAAATCTGAATATGACCATAGTTTTAAAATATGACACTTTGTGAAAATATATGGTAAGCTGTAAATTACTTATGGAAAAGTATTATAGAACATTATTTATAAGGATGACAACAGTTTGTATTTAACAAGTGCTTCTGGGTTTTCAGAAGCTGAGTTAATGTGTCAGTTGTGTTCAGTAATTAATAATCTGCGATTCTGAAGTTAATTTTCTTGCTTAAGGAAGACATGTTTTCATATATTTTATCTCTTCATAATAGTATAGTCAGTGAGCTCTTATTTAGAAAAGATGGATAGCAAGTAAGGCTAAGAGTTACAAAAACATAGGTACTAAAATTGTCTTCAGAATTACAGAATCTTAGAAGTTACTAGGTCTTGTGAGTTAATGTTTTTCTCCAAGTTTTATTAATTTGTATACTATTTTATTTAGTATATTTCCCCCACCAAATCTCTCAAAAACACACAAATGTGCGTATGTGTGTTTATGTATATAATCACATTTGAAGATGAGCAATCTCATATAAGGGTATCTGTGAAGTATTGACGGTTGGTGCTTTTATTTCCTTTTTAACTTTTTAGGGAGTATTTTTGAGGCAGGGTCACACTATATATAATCTTAAGCTGGTCTCAAATGATCCTCCTGCCTCAGCTTTCAAGTACTGAGGATTTGCCTCTATGCTTGGCTAATGATTGGTACTTTAATCATTTAAAAGAAGACATTGTAAAATAAAGATTATTTTACTTGCTAAATGTGTGAAGAGTAAAGACAGGGATAAATTGCTCTCAGTGTGAGGTGCTTGTGCCTGATTTCTCAGACTGTCTTCCTCAGCCCCACAAAGATATTTAAACAGGCACATTTTTTTTTTTTTGAAAACTTGGGGCCGAGGGAACTTTTATATTAAATTAAGTATGTAGAGTTCATTTCTAAACTCATCATTAGGAGCACTTGCCTAATGGTCGTAGTGACCTGGGTTGGACCTCAGCACAGCAGTAAATGTTAACAGAGTGTAAATGTGTGCACAGAACTCAGAGTCTGGAGCACCTTTACCATTGCAGAAGGCGCCGCTGAGAGAGACGGCTGGGTTCTCCAGCCTGCGTGCAGTTGCTCACCTGTGCTGTGCTCATTTTGATTGAGAGTAAGACATGAATAGTAACTACTTCCTTCGAAAGTTTTTTAGGAAAATTTAAAGTGCTTTTAAAAAGTATATTGTTCATCCATGTAACTGTTACTTGCCTTAAGCTCTACAAGTCTTTCGGAATTTAACTTTATGTATATTTGCTAAGATTTGCCAAGCTAAGCATCTGTAAGGTCAAGGTACTAACATGAGAAGCATTTCTGAACAAAGATGCTGCAGTTGGTGGGTGGGTCCCACTGTGCTCAGCTGTCGAATAAGCCTGCAGAAATAGGATCATCTTGACTTTAATCTTTCGGTTGTTCAGAGGTAGTGTGCATATTTCTGCTTAACCCCTGGAAATGTGCCAAAATAATTCATAGCCTTATCTCCATCCTTGTTACCTTGACTCTGAATAGTCTGTGAATTAAATTAATGAATTTTGGTGGTCAAAGTCTGTCTGGATCCAATGAAAAGGAAGTTTCTTTGTTTAATTTAAAAAGTTTTGAGGGTACTACCTGTTTGCTATATTTTGGAGACTAAAGTCTTTGTTACCTTTCATCTGTTTGAGAATACATTTTACATTCATCAGATCATAGAGTGGGGACGTGAGTGTGGATGGTGGTGGCCTCTAGTAGTCCTCTGCCCTCTTCAAGTCACAGTTCTTTCAAGAGTGAAATGATATACTGACTATTGTGTAAGTTAAACAAAACAGCATTTAACGGTTATTGAATTATTTAACAATTATTTAAATGCCAGTTGGATTCTAATTTGAGTAGAATCGTGTCCTGAGTTCCAGTCCTGTGTTGAGAGGTATAACTGGAGTCCGGATGTACTGCTAACATTTGCCACACTACTTTGAAGGGAGAGCCAGTCTTCTTAGTCATACCCAGTTTTCTGCTGGCTGGTTTGGAGCTCTGAAGCTATAACACACAGAGAAATTATGGTTGAGCAAAATGAAATGTTGAAATAAAGCTTTGAAGAAGTAATGGCTTACAGTTATTTCTTATTGAATATAGCAAACTCTGGCCTGTTCTATTCTAACTGCTCTGTTGAGTGAATTCTCAAGTTCAAGTAAAACTAGCAACATTGGACTGAGTATGGAATTCCACGGTAACTGCAAACGAGTCTTTCAGGTATTTATAATATTGTTTTGTGTTTTAAGAATTGGACAGTCCACTTTTTATGCAGTTTGTCCCTACTGGTGAGAACATTTGTTTTAGATGTTTGAATGGTAGCTTATACTTGAAAACTTGTGCTGAGATTTTATAGGGTATAGTAAATTGCTAAGTTTGATTATTGTAATTGATAAATTAAAATTATTCAGTTCTCATCTTTAGGCAACGAAAGAGAGAATATTATAATAAATATTCCCTAGTTTATAATTTTCTTATCATGTTTAGATATAACTATTTCAATTGATAGGGTTCTGCTGCTCTTAAAAATAGGACTGGCACAGTGCCAGAAAAGGTCATGTATTTAAAATGTTATTGCAGATGGTGTGGGCTTTGTCTCTAGCGTGTATTGTTTGGCTCTGGAGCAGAGTTATGTGAAGGCATTGGCTTAAGTCCTAAGGCTCTGCACTATAGCAACTGACTGCCAGCTCACATTCAGCCTCAACAGCTTTCCTGCATGGAGGTTCATTTGTATTACAGTAAATGGTGTCATTTGAAAGCACACTGATGTTAGAGGTCTCAAGATGGAAAACATTCTTAAGGAAGTAGTGCCATCTAATGGAAACCTTAAGGTTCTTGTTTGTTTTATGATTTTAAAAAGGAATGCATTTTGAGTAAGCGTCATACAAAACTGTGTGATTTATTGACCATAGGAAGAAGACCTTCGCCAGATCTTCATGTTAACGGTTGGAGTTCTGCAGGAGTTCAGCAGGCGGGAGAACCTCAGTGCTCAGATGTCCTCAGTGTTTCAGCGGTACCTTGCACTTGCCAACCAAGTCCTGAGCTGGAATTTTCTCCCTCCAAATTATATCCTTTTAATAACGGGAAGGGTTGTATTTGTGGTGACTGTGTAGAAGATGTAATCATGAATTTCAGTCCTTTATATCCTTAGATTTTTTTTTTTTTTTTTTTTTTGTGAAGCATTCTATTGAATGGAGGCTTGCTTTTTTGGTTTTTTTTGTTTTTGTTTTTGGAAGAAATGGAATGTACTATACCATAATATAGTAGACTGTAGAAAGTGTAAAGCTGTGTTTACTATGTTGAAAGCATTTGGTGGCTAATAAGGCTGTAGCTGACTGAGGAGAAGCATAGTATTCCTGGGAAGGAAAAGACAGATCGTGCAAAATGAATTTTTAATCAGCAGTAGAACCATTTTCTCCTCAGGTATATGATTAAATTGGATTGTTTGACTGACTTTTCTTTGTTAGAGGGCTCTGATTTTGTCTTTATGGATATTGCTGTTGAGAGTCATGTGCTTAGGAATACTGTGGTGCCTGCTTGGAACATCAGTCAATCAGGCAGACCTGGGTTCGAGCCTCAGCTGATCTCTAGCAAATTGCCAAACCTTTCTGTTTACTTGTGTTTTGTTTTTTTCTTGAGGCAAGGTTTCTCTCTATAGCCTTGGCTGTCTTGGAACTCACTCTTTAGAACAGGTTGGCCTCAAATTCACAGAGATCCACTTGTCTCTGCCTCTTCCTCCTGAGCACTGGTATTAAAGGTGTGTGCTGCTGCTGCTGCTGCTGCCAAAACTTTTTGAATCTTAATTTTTCCAAACAGAGAGAGTATGTTGGTTGTTGACTAAATTAAATTAAACAGTATAGACTAAATTAAATAAAATAGAATAAACACAGAAATTAGCTGCTGTAATGGACCTTTAATCTGCCCTTTCCTGGGGCTCTAGGAGAGGCTGTTTCAGAGAAAAATGCTGTTTCTAAGTAGATTAGAAATGGTTAGTAAGTTTTATCAGAACTTTGGGATGAAGTTTATCTTTGTTTCAAGAGTTAAGATCTGTTGCATTCACATACATAGGTTTGAGACCTGTAAAACTAAGACTTAAGGCTCATGGTAAGCTGTGATTTCCATTTTCAAGTTACTATATTTACCTACTAGAAAACTAACTGTAAAAGGCAGGTGGTATGAGATAAAGTGAGCCACTGACTCGTTAAACCAGGAATTCTCCGGGCTTCTTTGCCAAGGCAGTCACATTGGAATGAAGCTTGATATCAAGTTAGTCATACTCTCCTTTATGCCTGTTCTTTATCTTTCACCTGTTAACCAATTTTATGTCCTTAATTTATACATTTAATTCTTTCAAGTTGTAAATTCTTTAGTGTTGTTCTTTTTTGCTTGGATTTTTGAGAGAACTGATTCTGTAGCCTAGGCTGGCCTTGAACCCATAGCTATCTTCCTACTTCAACTCTGTAGTGTGTTAGGATTTCAGGCCTGAGTTGCCACTCCTAGGCACATAGTTTCCTAACTTCATTTTAAAAATATTTTTCTTTCGAATATCACATTGTTTGCTTCAGACTTTATTTCCCCCCCCCCCCCCTTTCTTTTGAGGTAAGACAGAACCTTTAAATCTAGCATCTGGTCTTGAATTCATGTTTTTTTCGTTTGTTTTTTGTTTTGCCTCAGTTTCCCAAATGGTAGAATTACAGATATACGTTACCACTTCCAACTTTGTTTTTGTTTTTTAATTTTATATCTTTATTTACTTTTATTGTGTGACTATTTTGCCTTGCATGTGTGTCTTTTCACCACATTTGTGCCTGGTCCAGTTGGAGGTTAGAAGAGATTATCAGATCCCCTGGAACAAGGGTTGCAGGTGGCTGTGAACCATTATGTGAGTAATGGGAACACAGGTCTTCTGCAAAAACAGCCAGTTCTCTTAACCCCTGAGTCATCTTTCTAGCTCCTTATTTTGTTTTTAAATGATGGTTTAGCAGACTTTATTCAAAAGAGGCTATTGTTATAGTTTAAGTACCACTGTAACAGGATTTTATTATAAAGAAAGATTAGACAGTTTTGTGCCCTAATTTTTTTAGCTTAAAAAAACAAAACAACTAAAGGAGCAATCACTGAGCCTGCTGGACTGTGCATGACTGTGTGAGTCCTCTTAGAATATGTTATGGTTCTTAGCTTGGTGTTTTTGTGGGACTCCCACAGTGGAAGTCAGGGTGTCTCTGACTCTTTTGTCTGACCTTGGGACCTTTTTCCTCCTACTGGATTACCTTGTTGAGGCCTGATTTGTATCTAGACTTACTGTAACTTGTTTTGACTTTGCAAACTAGGGTTTCTCTGTGTAGCCCTTGCTGTCCTGGAACTAGCTCTGTAGACCAGGCTGGCCTCTAACTCACAGAGATCTACCTGCCTCTGTCTGTGCAGGGATTAAAAGTGTGCAGCAGGGGCTGGAGAGATGGCTCAGAGGTTAAGAGCACTGGCAGATCTCCCAAAGGTCCTGAGTTCAATTCCCAGCAACCACATGGTGGCTTGTAGCCATCTATAATGATATCTGGTGCCCTCTTCTGGCCTTTAGGAGCACATGCTGGCAGAATACTGTATAAATAATAAAGAAATAAATCTTTAAAAAATAAAATAGAAGTGTGCAGCAGTACAACTTGGTAACTTGTTATGCTGTGTTTGGTTGATATCCCTGGGAGGCCTGCTCTCTTTTCTGAAGGGAAACAGAGAAGTGGATTTGGGGAAGAGGGAAAATTGGGATGGGGGTGCTGGGAGGAGATACTGCGGACAAGGTGTTTTAAAAAAAAAAAAAAAAGCAAAACAAAACAGATAGAAAGCAGTTAGGAGCAGTGGCTGTTCTTTTAGAGGACTGTGATTCAGTTTCGAGTACATAACCATTTGTAACTCATTTCAGGGGATATGATGCCTTCTGACCTCCTCATGCACTGACACTCATGTAGTGCACAGACATACATGCAGCAAAACACCAGTGTACATGAAGTAATTTTTTATAAGAATGTCATGTATGATAGCACATACCTGTAATCACAGTATTCACTTGGAAGGAGGATTGTTATGAGTTCAAGGCCAGCTAGTTTCATAGCAAAACTGCGTTTTAAGAAAACCAACAAAACATAAAGGCATTGAAAAACTTGGAACAGATTTTAAAATATCACTATATGGAGCTATCAAACATTAATTATGTATGTAGTGAAAGTAAAAAAAAATTGCACTGCATATATCATAGCCAATTCTAAAGTGTCTTGTTTTGGAGAAAACTATAGTTGGCAAAGTCACTATTTTGAAAAGAGAAACAGTTTCCTGTTGGAATTTGGAAACAAAGTTTGACTCGTTAACTATTTTGTGAAACTTAGATAAAGCTTGAAAAATAAGCACTGCTGCAGTGTTGCCAAAGAAAGTAATTCCTCTAAAGGTCTTGAGGGTTCCTGGGCGAGCTGTGCAGTCTGTAATCTCTGCCTTCATGGGGTTAGCAGCAGGACAATCAGAAGTTCAAGGTTATCCTAGCCTACATAGTATGTTTGGGGCCAGCTTGGATACATGAGACCCAACAGAAGGGAGAAATCAGGAGAGAAAGCTAATCTGGTTTAAAATTAAAAGAAAGAAAGAAAGAAAGAAGGAAGGAAGGAAGGAAGGAAGGAAGGAAGGAAGGAAGGAAGGAAGGAAGGAAGGAAGGAAGGAAGGAAGGAAG